TGGAGGGCAGAGACATTAGAAGACGCCGGAAATGGTTCTCATGCAAGAGCTTAACTATATGCGTGCTTCTACGCAAATACAATAAATATGAAGAAAGAGATAGAGAGAAGGTGAAAAAGGTACTATTATAGTCAAACTCATTGTATGATTGGTGATTATATATATGACATGACAACATCATGTAACCAACAGTTGACTATATAGTATATTAACCATGCTTGAATCAGGAACGACATTCCTCTTTCTCCTACTTAACTATACTGCCACGTTACTTGGCGGTATGAAGAATCATGAGACACAATATGAAGTGATATGCTATTATGCTTCGTTGGCATTTGGCAATGTGAGCCAAGGAGGGGGTTGAGAACTTGCAATGGAGATGAGTTTTTTTTTGTTTCGAGCAACAGCAATGGAGATGAGTGCAGTGAGGACCGAGCAGTGGGCCTTCATCATTGGCAGGCCGGCCCATCGATTCCTTGTAATTTTTCTCTCTCTGACGTGAAACGGAAATCCAAGTGGCCCATGACATGGAAAATCAGGCGATCTTCTTTTACGGATCTGGGCGATGACCTCTGTAACCACGGCCCCCTAAACCCTTGCTCGATCTCCCCCAAATCCCAACCGGCCGATCATCATGCCGCCGTCACGGCCGCCATGCCGCCGCTGCGGCCGCCGCCGGCGCTCGGCCACCGCCGCAGGGACGGATCCCTCCGCAGGCGGGAGCAGAGGGTGGCTCGCCGCCCGCCGCAGGCCGTTCAAGCGGCACGGGCCCGAGCACGGCGACCAGGCGCTGCCCCTGGGCGACGAAACCCTGCTCCTCGTCTTCTCCGCCCTCTCCGACGCCGGGGACCTCGTCCGCTGCGCCGCCGCCTGCAGGCGCTGGCGCCGCCTCGTCTCCTCCGACGCCGCCTTCATCTGCCGCCGCGGGCCCCCGCGCTGCGACCGCTTCGCCCGCCGCCTCGCGGTCGGCGTTTTCCTGCACAGCGACCGCGGCCGCGGCCGCGGCCGCTCCCGCGGCGAGGGATTCGTGCCCTTCACCAAACCCGATCTCTCGATCGCCGGCGGCGGAGTGCCGGGCTCGTCGTCGCGCGTCGTCGCGTCCCGCAACGGCCGTGTCGTGATGGACCTCCGCCGCGCCAAGAGCGCCTGCGTCCTGCGCCTCTGCGTGTGCGACCCCATGACCGGCGACGCCGACCTGCTCCCGCCCCTGAGCGGCAAGGACCGCCCGGGCCCGTACGCCTGCGCCCTGCTCACCGCCGACGACGGGCTCCACCTGTACGACACATGCGGTGCCGGCACGGCCACGTCCCCGTCCCCATCCTCGTACCGCGTGCTGCTCCTCTACAACCACCGCAGCTACACGGCGCTCCGGCGCTACTCCTCGGACGACGGAAGCTGGGGGCCGGAGGTGGAGGTGACCGGCGCTCGGATCGCGAGGGGGCGGCAGCTGGGCGTCAGGGCGCACGCGACGCTGGTGCGGGGCGGCGCGGTCTGCTGGTACGGGCTCGGCATCGCCGTCAACCCCGCCACGCTGCACACGTCCAGCTTTTCCTACACCGTGCAGGCCTTCGAGTCGCCGCCGCGCCGCGCCAAGGCCTCCCTCGGCGAGGTGGACCGGCTCCTGGGCCTGATGCCAGACGGGAGGCTGTGCGTGCTGGAGTGCAAGGCCGACGCGGTGCGCGCCTACGTGGTCGTCTACGCCGACGCGGTGAGGAACGGCGGCGTGTCGGGGAGGAAGGAGTGGCGGTGGACGCTGAACGCGGAGCTGATGGGCCTGCAGGCGGTGAGGCTGCGGTGGTTCTGCGAGAAGAGCGGCGTGGCGCTCTTCACGGCGAGGAACAGGGGCGGCAAGACGCAGGTGTACGCGGTGGACGTGGAGACGATGCAGGTGGGCAGGGTGGACTGGTCGGGCGACGACGGCGACGGCGACGGGGACATGGACGTGTGTGGGTACGAGATGGACCGGGTGGCCATGCTCGCCGAGCTGGACCGCTCCGCTGAGCTCCATCCTGCTCCTCGGCAGCTCTGATTCAACATTCTTTTCCTTATAGTTTTCCTTATTTTTCTTCAAAATTTCATTGATTTCTTCAATGACTGCAAATTGTAGTATTTGTATACGGGTATTATAATGCTTTGCGAAAAATCAGTACTAATACTGCAACCCAAACTGGTTCCATTATCGCCACCGTCATTGCTCTCTCGAAAATTTCATCTGGATCTCCAAATGAACCAAGCATATCTCATATAGGCACATGAATTGTTTGCATATAAAACACCAATGAACTCCTGACTAAAATTGTCAAGTTTTATGGGGGAACAGAAACATCTTTGCAGCATCATCGAAATATAAGTTCTGAACGTACCCTTATGAACAGTAAAATTGAAATAAATAGTAAAAAAAATCAAGAAAACCTGATTCTTTTTGGCAACAAACATTGTGAAAAAATAACACTCGTAATGCTCTGTCAAAAACAAAATCAATGCTCCAAAAAGAATAGTTTTTAAAGCATTTTGAGGTGCTGATTTTGTAAGTTTTTTCCTAAACCTCCACGAATGTGATTTCATCATGAAATTTGCATGCACGTAGAAAACTAAGCAATGTTTGTTTTAAAAAAATGTGACTTTTACTGTTCACAACAGGAGCATTTGAGCTCGAGATTAGAAGGGACACTTTCGCGCGTTTGCCTGGTTTTATGGACCGAACACAATCATCATTCATCAGCGAAGCAAGAACCGAATTGCCTTGTGTTCTAGGAGGGTGCTCTCTGCAATCTTCTTGTCCTACCGCACATTCAAATACTCTCTTTGTCTCGAAGTGTAAGACATTTTTTGACGCTTGCCACGGAGCGAGTATGTTTTGAAAGGAGCATTTGGAGCATTCGAGCATCTCCAATAGAAAATGTATACTTGGAGATATAAAAGCAGGTGATGTATATTTTTAAAAATCAAAAGGTGATTTTTACATCTCCAAAAAGTTCCTAACTTCAAGAGATGATGTATATTTGGTGATGTAGAACTACTACACGAACATATGGTGTATTTGAAGATGTAAAACTAGTCCAACTACTATATCATTTCAAACATAAATTTAAACATAGTAAGTTCATTTGAATCAAACATAGTTTTTAAAGACTTAAAACATAACTAAACATAGTTCAAACTGCTACTACTCTGAGCCTACTCGTCTTCGCTCTTGAACTGCTTCCATAACTCCTCCTTGTTGGGGTCATCACACTCGTCGTCCTTCTCATCCGAGTCATCCTAGTCCGACTAGACAGGGATTAGTACCATCGAGGGGCCGGCCTCCTCCTCCTTCCTCACTCCCTTCTTCTTCTGCTCGGCCTCGCGCTTTCAGAAGAAGTCGCGCTCGGCCTAGACATACTCCGGATGCTCCCGCATGAACCTCGCCTTGCTGCCTCGTCACTACCGTCGGGAGCAACGAGAACCTCCTCCTCTTCCTCCTCCTTCTCGTCCATCCGCCAAATATTGTGCTTCTTCGGCCCGATTAGCTCCGCGGTCCACCCAAGTATCGATCTCCGGGAAGTTCATCGCACGCCTCAGCCGGCCGAAACGCCACGCGGCGATTTCATACGCGCGCACGACCATGTCGACGGTCGAACGTGTCGATCCAGTAGCGGTAGCCATCGCACTGGGATTCTACGCTGAAGTTCCTGGACGGCTTCTTCTGCACCCCTAAGAAATTGGTCTTGCTCTTGGACACTTTCTTCGATGGCATGGCGGCGGCGCAGCTACAGTCGAGCGTCGAGTCGAGACGGACGCCGGCGGCCGAGCTTCAAATGCGGCGGGGCAGGCCGGCGAAGCTCGGATTGGGCGAGGGAGCTTCAACTGAGGCGGGGTGGGGCGGCAGTGCAAAAGCGGGACGAATGCAGCCGAGAGGGTGGGGGCTGTCGAAGAGCGGCGGTACCAGCGACGGGGTGGGGAAGACCGGATCTGACGGCAGTGCGGCTGGCGGCAGGAGGCATAAAGGTGGTTGCACGGTGGGTGAAAAAGAGGGGAACTAGTGGTTGGCACGTGGCTGCGGATTATACATCACCAGGCGGCTGGTGATGCAAATTTTCATCTTCAACTGTTGTATTTTACATCACTTTAAGGTAATGTAAATTGTTTTACATCTGCATCATGTGTGCCTCGGAGATGCTCTTAGAAAAGAAAGAAGCTACGGGTGAGGTTTCACAGGCCGCCTCAAGCTCGTTACCAAAGAAAAGTGCCAAGTGTTGGTAGCTCAATAGAATTTAACTTCTCTGTAGGTGGGAGCAACGCCTTTTGTTTTTACGTCAGAGACCAGGTCACCAAGTTTCAACAGGGGCAAAGTGCTCAGACCGATAGCATTCATCAGAGAAGCATCGGTATAGTTTTTTTATTTATTTTATTTTCTGGAGGTCTTGGAAGCCCCAACAAATTATAATCCCCAGAAATTGTCTCCTGAGTTTCAGTCTTTCTTATAAAAATTGTCCCCTGAGTTTTGAAACCCTGTCCTATTCTATTCTATGGTCAGGGCAAAATCACTGCTTTGATCTTCAGTGACAAGTTTAGCACTGAAACTATTTTACGACTGAACCCTCTAATCTACCGCCAAAAACCGTACGTGGCAGTAGAGTAGACGAGCCACCATCATAGTCAACAGTGGTATCCCAATTGATCCGTCTACGCTGAGAAAAGCAAGCATGGCAGCCTGCCTCCAACGGCATCGGCGGTAGACTTCTGGAGGCCATCTCCGACGGAGCCGGCGGCAGAGTCTCTAGGCTACCCTGCAACGGCGTGATTGCCACGACACAATGCACACTGACGCAGCAACTTTCTGACTTTCTTTTTCAAGGGGACATAAACCAGTCTGCAGCAACCATGGAAATATAAGTTCCGCAAGCGCGACAAAAACGGTCGTTTCACTGTGATACAGGAAGGCAAAGTACAGGCCCATCCGCACGGTTTACTGATCAAACGAAATCACTTGCACGCACGCAGGCGGCATGTGTTCAGGATCAGCGAAGCAAGAACCGGACCGCGGCAACAGCGTCGCCCTTGTGCTCTCGGAGCGTCCTCTCTGCGATCTTCTTGTCCAACTGCACATTCAGAGATGCTTTAGAAGGGGCATTATTTAGAGCATTAACAGGAAGGAAAAAATAGGGGCAAGCCATGGTTTCAGATGCCACCTCAAGCTCGTTGGCGATGATTTCAACGTCGGTGGGGTTGATCTTGACAGCAGCTAATTCTTTCTCCCTGGTGAAAGGCAAACAGAAACACCCGTTATGTTATAACAATACCATGAGCTGTGAACAACATTTCCAGGAGAATAAGACCAAACCCATTTATCTAAAAATGAGTATACTACATACTTCTCAAGGCCATTGTCTTCGTTTCAGATTGGAGCTGATATGTAATGGAATACTACGGGTGAGTTCAGTTTATGCCAAGTTTGGTGTGCATACCCACGCCTTGGCCAAGATTGGCTAGAAAAATAACTAGAATTGGCAAAAGAGCATTGGCGTGCCAAACAGTTAGCAACTATCTAAACATAGACCAATTTTTTAAGTTATGGTAAGAAAAACTGGTAAGGTACACTTTGGTAATAATCCAAACATACCATCAACCAGAAACATGGAATCCCCAACAAAATAGATAATGGGATATTGCAAACTCGAGCACAAAAATTACAAAGTACTCCCTCCGTTCACAATAATAAGATTTTCTAACTTTTTTCTGAATCGGATGTACATATACATGTTTTAGTGTGTTTGTTCACTCATTTCAGTCCATATTGAAATATCTAAAACATCTTATATTTGTGAACGGAGGGAGTGCACTGATCTAAGTTCCACTGTTCGTGCTAGATTTTCTTTTCTTTCCCGTTCACTTATTTATCCTTACTTGTTTTTTTCTTTCATCAAGTTGGAAACCTACGTGATGACAAGTTATTGAGCAAAACTGCAACCTGTCTGCGTCGTTGGATTGTTCTCTTCTTCGTAAAATGCTGACCTATCTGTTAATGGACATTATAAATGAAGCTTAATTTTGTAGCAGGGAAAGCTGTTATTCAAACTGAACATCACATTTAAAATTTCCATGTGCAGTTGCTAGTAACGTCTGTCGTTCAGCAAAAACTAAAAAAGAACAGTGCATTGGTTTATTGCAAGTTTCTTGAGACCAAAAGAATAGCCATGAATATTTTCCACACCAACCTCAGTCTCATGGCATTCCAGTCAGCCTCTTTAGATGAAGCAAGAGCTGCCATGGCCTGTAAAAGAAAGAAAGATATATCAGCATCACCAAGGTACTCCCAAAAACATCTCAATTAAACATACACACTTATCTACGAATCTATCATCTACATCTTACTTCTAGATTTCTAGTTTCCTGATATCCATGTTTTAGCACGGAGTTACTATATTGAAGCTCATTCAACTGGTAGCAGGTGTCTCTTTCAAAGTTATTTAGATAACCCCTTCAAAATCATTTGATTAAAATGCTTATGGATCAGACTGGAAGGTGAACTGTATATCTGCCCAAGCAGCACTTTTCAGAGGCCACACTGATATAACTTATTCAATAATTTTCCAGAATTATAGAAAAGGTGGGTGCCATAGAAATCAAAACGCGAGCTATTCATATGACATGGAAATAATGGATATACTACTCAGGTCACCGGACCTCCGGATAATACTGCAGTTAAGCAGTGAAAACTTGCAATTGATTAGCAATACATCTAATAAAATGTTATTGTCTATCAGAGACAGACAAGCAGAAGTACAGAGATTATATGGTGGGTGGACAGATTATGAGGAGCTGCTACCAAATGTAGGTTGTGTGTACTGCATGCCACCGTCTGATGTCTTGATTACGGAATAGAGATACTGTATCTAACAAAAGCGTTCACTGTTTGAACGTTACACCCAACAGACATGGAACGTACAGTATGCTCAACCAATAACTAATGGGCCGGGAATCTGATAACAGTTGAAATGATTCTGACTGGAAACAGCAAAGGGAGTAAAAATAACAGTATAGGCACGCATCGAGGAGCAGGCTAGTCATGTATGGAGGATTAAGCTGAAGCATGTCATCCCCACAAAGCAAAGCAGGGGAGGCAAAATAATAATTCGTGACACCGTGCATCCACGCTCCAACAATGTCGACCAGATCCTCCAGCTCGTCGCTCCGATTGCTCACTAATGGGCCAGCGGATCACGAATCTACACCTAATCCTCACTGAATACGCGACGGAATCTGTGAATCCTCGCTCGCGGGAGCGCGGGGTCGGGGGTTCGAGCAGGACGTACGGATTGGACGCGGGAGGAGTCGAGCTGGCGATCCTCGACGTGGTCGGTGAGCTTGTCGAGGGCCTTGCTCTGCTGCTGCAGGTCCTTGGAGTCGGCCTCCGCCGCGGCGGCAGCGGCGCCGCCCTCCGCCGCCACAGCCGCGGCTGCCGCCGCCGCCGCCGTCTCGTCGACCGCCGCGCCCATCGCCTCTCTCCGACCCGCGCTGTCTAAAACCCTAGCTAGAAAAATTCCCCTTCTCGCTGTCGTGTGTGGTGGGACTGCAGAGAGGGTCTGGGTGCGAAGGGGCTAGAGGGTTTTGTTGTCCGCCGATACGGCGTTGAGATTCGTGCGAGACAGGTCATGGCCAGTTCATTCTTTATTTTTTGGGATTTTTTTGTGGAGAGGGAGTTTGGAACAATTGATTTTTTTTCCAAAAGGAGATTACTGTAAGAAACGAAAAGGGGTTCGATTTGGAGGAGAATCTGCTCGTGACATTTTAGAGATGGATTTTTTTTTTAAGAATACGAGATGGATTTCACATGGCATGAAAGTTGTGGGCATGTATTGGAGAGGTGTTTGTTGACATAATGGAACATCATTTTACAGCCGTAATGATATTTGGCAAGCGTTCGTCAAGAGCCCAATCCCGAGGAATGCTCTAGAACCACCAGATCTGTATATGGATGGTAGTTTTTGAAACTGTCACGCGGACGTTCGCAACTGATATGCCCCCAACGAATGTTCACTGGAATTGACGTCCTTTTATAATTTCTTTAGGAGTTATTCACAATATTTATATATCTCCTCCTCTCGTGGAAACAAAATAAGCGTATGTATAAAAGTAAAAAAAAGATGAGTATTATCGTGACATTCGCTTACTTAAACTTTATTTATCAACAACATAATAGATAGTGCTCTTTGATGTTTATATTTCACGTTCGTGTCATGAAAAAAAATTAGACTTCGTTTGGGTTTTCAAGAAGCATCAACTCTATTATTAGGTATGAATTATCAAAAAAAGTCCTTATTAGGTATGGATACAAAGAGTTATGAAAGAGTCGGTGCTACATAGTTTTTTGTTGTAGTAAAAATAGCACCACCTATAAAAAAGAGAGACATGACGACTTGAGTGTCTGACCCTAACTTTGGATCTGTTGCGAGTGCAACTAATTTACTATTTAAACACGAGCAACACAACCATAGAGTAAGTATTGTTTTTACTTGTTGTGGAGGGGGAGTTTGAAACGATTGATTCCCGAGAAAGGTAAACATACAAGTAAAAACACATGTACAAAAGTGAAAAAAAAACATGAATATTGTCCTGACATTATTTGCTTATATTTGTACTTTATGTGTAGACAACATAGTCGATAGTGCTCTTTGATGTTTATATTTCACGTTCATGTGTCATGACAAATTTTCATACTTTGTTTGGAACCTCAACATGCATTAGCTCCTTATTAGGTACGGACATATGAGTGATTAAATAGACAGTGCTATGTAGTTCTTTATTGCAACAAAATTAGCACCACCAAAAAAAAGGCATGACGACTCGAGGCACCTGACCCTAACTTTGGGTCTGTTGTTGGTTCTGTTATTTTACTATTCAAGCAGGAGCAACATAAACATGGAGTAAAAATCAAGAAACCGCAATCTTTATGTCACTAGCCACACAAAACTTGAACGGGTTAACAACTTTAGTCACATAACCAAAATTCTCGGGGCAAAAGAAAAACACACAATCCAAAATCTCTTGTTCATCAAACAAACTACAAAGGATTGCCAAGTATTGACCGTGTGGCAGCTCCCACATGGTAATAATGAGATAAAAGAAGACCAGTGGTGTTGGTGCTATAGTTATACACAGTCGGGATTTTGCAAAAGGACAAGTAAAGGCCATGGTAGTTGCCTTGTGGGCAACGTGTGTTAGTTTCCATAGTTAGCTCATTGCCAAGAATATAACAATTTCAGTTCCGTGATATACTTGTGAACCGAGCATAGCTCATATGAGTTACCTTTCTTGTGATGGAACCAGTCCGCCAGAGTACAAGCGCTATCTGAACTGTGCAATAAGGTCACCCATAAGTCCCACCGATGCTTGCAACCTTTTCAGATATATTTACAGGGCTTCCGGTGATGTTCGTAAGTGGGAGTCATTCTCACGGACTAAGATCCATTTATGGTGGCTTTGTCAATCGCAAGATTTGTCGGCTCACGCTGTCGATGGTGCTCATCGAAGGTGGAGCATGCGGCGTGTGTATGCGGGCGTCTATGTTCGCGGCGTGCTTTAAGAAAATTTTGAGATACATCCGTGCCTCAGAGGTTGCGATTACATGGTAGACAGCTGGGGCGGGGCCAGCTCTCGCCTACGCCGTTAGATTTTACACTGAGATTCGTGGAGATTAGTCAAATCCGGAAAAGGTTTTAGGAAAACGGTGCTTCGGGTGACCGACGGCCTAAAGGCCGCCCTCCTTCGTTTTCATTCTCAACAGCAACAAAAAAAGTTTATTATACCTTACGTACTATACTCCTGTAGAAAACATGCGACGATGAAACCAAAGCGGTTCCACGCGACAACTCTGATGCGCGCGGTGAAAGCTCCACGAAATCGGACCCAGACGGAAACATTTCCCGGCAAGTCCACGAGACGAGACCTCGGCCGCCACGCACGGCGCCGCGCACACCACCGAGCGCCCGCGCCGCACGCACGAGGCGCGCGCAACAGTCCAAGGAGGAAACGCGCTGACCGCACCGCACCGCGCCTCCATCCGGCCGGACCGAAAAGGCGCAGAGAAACGACGCCGCCCAATTACTCCGCCC